TAATAATTAAGTTAACAAGCAAGTTAATCAATATATAACTCCCTCCATGATATTCTTTTAAAAACATTAATGAAAAATAACTTTAAGTACTATCAGAAGTTTATTGATAGAATCAGACGTTACTTTGCGGTAAATCCGGTATATTAACAATGTTTAAATTAATTTACTAAAAACTACGCAAAAAAAATAAGAATGATGATATGTCATACCTAGTTTGAAAAGTATTTCCCGCCCTCACAAGATTGTGTGCACTATTCCCGTCACCACTAATTCCAATACCTCTACTTCTAACACTACTACACTACGAAAAACCCACCACCGTCGATAATACGACACGTGTTTCGCCTCTAAGCGAGGCATCATGAGAAGAATTAGCCTCGGAAATGGCTGAAAGCATTGACATTGAGTTACTACGCTAAAGGCCGCGGGTTGAATCCCGTACGGAACAAGTATTTGTATTGCCTAGTAATAATTCACCGGGGTCTGAATGTTTGTCTTTATATAATTTATGTGTGTAAACTGCCTCCACGATACAACAAAAGATCGTAGTGTGGGAGTCACGTTTTTTTTTAAATAAAAGATAAGAGCAGGCTAAGATGCAGTCAGCAATTTTTACGTGGATATTAGCTAATTAATTTTAACTACGTTACTAACTGTCAGAAGTGTTATATATATATTAAAAACTTGCTTCTACTCGTAACTATTTAATAGATAGTGGTGCTTCTTTTCTATCCAGGATTGTTCTCTAGAATGGCATGTCGTAAATACCTTTTAAATACCTTTTAAAGGACCCTCTTACCTAAATACGAACAGTATAATTCCAGACTCAATTTTTTTTTGTTATAAACTAAGTGTGAAAAACGAGCACGCAGCCCGCCTGGTGGTAAGTGGATGCTGTGGCTCATAGACAGTGTAGACCCTGAAGTGTAAGCCGCGTTTCCAGCAAAAAGGGTTTCTGGTTCATAAAACATACCATACGATACACAACAGCATTCAGCTGCAATTTTAATCTAGTATTCTGTGAGAGTTCTTTACACTCACTATATTAAACGCTGGTATTCTATGAGAGCGTGGTCATTCCCCGGTCAAACAGACCGGTTCGTGCTATAACTATAATATAGTTGCAACGTGGCTCTACAACGTATAATCATGATTCATTTCATCTTGGCTCTCATGGCTGATAATGCTAAATGATAATCTTTTGATTAAAATATGTTTGACACAGCCTAGTTTGTATATTGTTCAAATGTTGGTTGCAAATGTTCACGAGTTGCAGTAACCAATTAAAATCAACGAATCTATTAAATCTATTGTTACGTTACGTTGGTAGTATTTGTGTTTTGATTGTATACTTTTGGAAGCTTTAAGTTTAAGTTGACCTTTCCCAAGTGGCTTTGGCAAAAAATAATATGAGATTTATGAGTTGAAACACCGTTAGTTTTGCTTAAGTTTAATTTTTACTAATTGACACGATAGACGTTGTTCTGTCCAAATTAAAATAAATTTTGTTTGTGATCGTTTTTTGAATGTTTGGAAAGCTGTTGGAAAATGGTAAAATGATAAAAAAATACGTATTTATGAATGATCATACTTACCTGATTCGTAATATAGCTGTTGTTAACTGATGCGCTTATCGACGAATGCATTTAATTGTTATTTATATAAATGATTACGTTTAATGTTTTGTTTTATTTAATTGTACGTGTGATGTCTCAAATAAAGAGAATAATAATTTTAATTGCCAAATGAAAATTAAAAGATTATAGTTAATATTTTTTTTATTAAATAAGCTATACCACAAGTATAACGCTGATGCTAAGACATCTTCTATAAAATATTTAAGCTCCAACTTCAGAAGCTAAAAAAATATGAGAATATCAATATTTTTAAGTGGGTTTTACTTTTTAAAGTATAATAATTTTAGAATGTAGTCAGTATATTTATCAAAAAGCGAAAAAACTTAGGCTGGAATTTGTATACATAATTTATATTTGTAGTGTATACCAATATACTATATACTAATTTGTAGTGTACTTGCTTCGGTAGTACATATACTAAAATTGGAACGATACAGAGATTAGCATGGCCCCTGCGCAAGGATGACACGCAAAATCGTGAAGCGTTCGACATATATGAACGCCCATTTGTGTAGTGTATACGAAAATACACACCCACTTAACGGCTATATTTAAAACACCTTTTTATAGAATAAACCATAAAAACATATAATAAGTGATGATATACCCTTTGCTCGTCGGTGAAGGTAAACATCGTAAGAATAATCTGCATGTCTGAGATATTAAAAAAAAATATTTCGATGACTTGTAAAGTCTACCAACATGCATTGGGGCAGCGCGACGGACATTCCCTTCGCCATAAAGGAGTTTTAGCCCAGTTGTAGGACGCATATAGACTGTAACCTTACTTTTTTACTAGCTTTTAATAAATCCAAAAAACTGAATGCATCACGCATTGGGCAGCGCGGCGGACATTTCCTTGCCCTAAAACCCTCTCAGAAATGAGAGGAGGCCTGTGCCCAGCAGTGGGACGTAAATAGGCTGCAACTTTACTACTTTTACTTTTACTTTTCTCAATAACTTCCTTATCACGGTAGGTGCAGGCAATCGTCCGTTCAATCGTGTTCTTTTCATCTTTCCCGCGTTGCCAGGATTTTTTCACTTCCAGGCGATAAATCGAGAATCATTAATCTTCTTCTTGGAGTTTGAATTTCATTGAAAAGACTTTGCATTTGAACATTGAATTTTATTAAATAACTAGCGACCTGACCCGGCTTCGCTTGAATCGGATCTATTAATGTGGCATTTTTTAGATTTAAGTTAATCAAATTAAAGTTCTACCACGTAAAAAGTTTTATACGTGGTAGACCCATGCAGCAGCTATATGCACAGAATACCAGCGTAAAATGACAGCTTGATACTGCTGTGTTTCTTATGGTGAGTGTAGAGGCACTCACCATACGAAACACAGCAGTGTTGCAGAACCGGAGACCCATTTTACTGGAAAAGAGGCATTCCATCTTAGTCCTCACGGGTGACGAAGCATCTGATTTTTGATTCTTTATTGAGGATAAATGTGCCTCTAAAAATCTCTAAAAATGCCTCTGGGTCACAGCAACCATTTACTATCAGGTGGACTGTTAGCTCATTTGTCACAATATAGGATATAAAAAAGACACCATTTATTTTATTAATTTGTCATTTATTCAAGAAACAAATCTTTAAGTTTCTGATAAAATATAACCTAAACCCCTCCTGGTATTGCTTCCTATTCAACTATCTCGAAGACTTGCTCAGGCAGACAGACAGACAGACAAATTAAAAAAAAATGGTTATTTATATCTTAACTCCCCGTAAAGTAGCTCACTGAGCTTGATGGAAGCCAATTTTTTTATTATTACAGACAAACATTTCAATTTTATTTATATGTTTTATATGAAAAAGCATATTATATAAATCCTGTATAAAAAGGGTAAATATAATATTGATTAAAACACGGTTGTTAAGCACGAGTTAACCAGCTCCACAATACACGATCGACACGGATTCGATTATGTAAAAAAAATACGGAGTTAACAGATTATTGTTAAGTCTCTAAAAAGAATGTTTGTAGAAACAGACAAACACGCTGGCTGTGTTCCGAATTTTGGCATGAAACACTAATGATGTTGCTGAAGCGTAATCAACGCAAACAAAGCCCCGAGAAAAGGGTTGTATTTTTATGTGAAACATCTATTGGCGCGCCTTAGCAGTAAAACGGACTCAAATGCCGGGACGGCAAACGGCATGACACTCCCACATGTCATGATATCCTCTCTACTCCATCACGGCTCTCGATGTCCTTGTGCGCGTGTACTATACACTTCGTTCCTTCTCTTTGCGAGTTTTGTACTGCGTGTGCCTTTCTTTTCGACTATGGTATACTTGAGGCGTTCGACGCATGTATACAAACTTAGTATTTCTTTTTAATATTATTGTTTTTTAATATCTTTCTCCATATTTCATTATTAATTTGCATTAATTCAAAATTCTACCATCAACTATGATCTTTCATATCTGTCGAGAGTCACGTGACGGCCAACTTTTTTTTAGTACCTTTTAATTAAGGTTTTGTTTAATATTATTGTATTTTTAAAATGTGTATCAGGCTCATTTTAAAACTTACGCTTACAGACGGCAACATGTGTGCATAAGCGATCTCAAGTTAGTAGTTTACCGGTCCGCAATGTCGACAGGTTATATCTTGTCCCTTTGCATAATGCTGAAACGTTTTCATGATATTACGTACGCCATTTACAAAACGCCGCACCAAACTACACTTTTGGGTCATGTTACGTTCAATTTAAATTAAAACAACAATTTGGTAGAATAATATTGTAATATTAGTAATAATGGTAATATTGGTAGATAGTAACACTTATCCCGTGTAGTGGTGGTACAATGTACTCCAAACCGAATTTAGGTAACAACGGCCAGTCTCAGTGGAGACTAGCTATTTGCACAGGACAGGGTTATAGTGCCAGATTAGGAGTACCCTTAACCGATGAGCGTGTGTGTGTGAATATATGGATGTAAAGGAGGCGAGAGAGGTGTGTCAGGATAGTGCCAAATGGAAGTCTGTGATCTCTGCCTACCCCTCTCGGTGACAGGCGTAAGTGTTCTCTCATAGTCCGATGGGACGGTAATCTGACACGACTGGAGAGAGAGATCTCTCTCCAGTCGTGTCTCTCGGAAATCAAGTAAAGAAGTCCTGATCAGGCATAGGGCTTCTTTACGTGCTTTCCGAGGTACGGGGGTAAAACACCGCCAACTTTCTGACTCCGGGTTACTACTGAGAATTTTGTAACAGAATAACTGATTTTGGCCAAACTCAGGAACTTCAGGATCAACAATCCCGTTTACAATGTCTACTCTGTCAACTCTTTAATATTATATACTTTCACTATCACTTCCGTGTTGTACAAATTAATTTGTTGTCCACAGGGAAGCCCTGCCAAATGGAACATTGTGGCTAGGCGCATTCTCCGCGTCACAATACCGCAGTGACGTCCACGCATCGGTATACCGTTGCCGTGCGGCTGGCACTGTCGGCACCATATTGTCGAGAGATATGCGCTTAGAAGCCGGTAAGTCAGATTAATTTTATATCATTTATCTTCCAACCCTCCCACCCAATCTCAATATGTGGTGGCCATGGGGCCACGAAAAAACGACCACTCGGAAGCACCAGCTTTCTTGACCCCAGCGGTGGATGTGGTCTGTGGCTCCACTGCCAACCAAGTTTCGGCCGCGGAGGGTTGGGAGAGCGGATTTTCGTAATACCGTTATCACCGCATCGACACACATTCGAAGTGGGCTCGCAATGCTCGTAGTCCGTTCACTTTGTGCCAGCCATGTGGGTAGTTCACCATAGGCTAAGCTTCCCGACTCGACAAGGCGGGAATCAGTTAGGGGGGGAATACTAGCCCAATAAGGCGCTCAGGTTAGATTACAATTCCATAATCCCAGGATTTAACACTTACACTGTCCGGTTTTCAGACACAATAGTAAGACAATAGCAATGACCTATATGTAGTGCACGGGACAGTGAAAGGGTTAACATAACTTAAAGTTAGGCGTCAAGGTCATTATTAGGCGTTATTAAATAGCCAATTCCTCACATATCAAGTTAAGGTGAACTTATATGAGCGGGTACGAAAGGTGTCAAAGTCAAAATCTGCTCTTTTACCTACTGAGTTCTATGAAGCTATAAAAGTAGTGACTTTGATGTTGCATAAAATAAATCTTATTAAAACATGAAATTGTAAAACTAATTTATGTAATGTGGTCCATACACATCCAAGTGTATCCTCGAGTAAGAATCTGATGCGATGTCACCCCTGAGGACTAAGGTTAAGGGTAAGGTTTTTTTTATATGATAGGATGACAAACGAGCACACAGTCCACCTGATGGTCTGTGGGCTATAGACATCTACACCTATCCTCGTTTGCGAATCAAAATGCAGATGCGTTGTCACCCGTGAGGACTAAGATGGAATGCCACATATCCAGTAAAAAGGGTCTCCGGTTCTCTACACTCAGCATACGAAACACAGCAGCATTAAGGTGTTGTTTCACGCTGTTATTCTGTGAGAGCATGGTCCTTCCCCGGTCGAGCCGACTATAAATAACAGGTAATATAAATTAATACGAACTTGTGTAATTGAAAGAAATGGGACGTAAAATCCCTAAAAGGCTATTAAATGCTCATTGCTGGTCATAGATCTTTTTTCCAGGGAAGGATTAGCTGAAATTGCAACACTTGGCAAGGTGCCAGCGATTACAATATGAGGCCACTCGCACGTAGCACTTTTCTGCGAATCAGTACACGACAATTTTGGTTGTCTAATTATGGACGATTATACTGACACTTCTTTGCCAGGTTCATTATTAATAGAACATACGACATTATCGTATATTAAATCCTTGTGGACATCTTCTTTATAAATATAAAGAATTATACGTACAGAATTGCGTATTACGTACAGAAAAATTATATATACATATATATAATTGTTCAGTACGCGTGATTGTCACTGAAGCCCTCTTAAACGGCTGGACCGATTTTAATGAAATATTTTGTATGTATTTGATTTGTTCCCTGGATTGTTTAGATACGCAATTGGACCCGATAGGTGGCACTGTTGTCAAGACCAAAAAATCCTTATGAAGTTGGAGCTAATCGCTAGTTATTAATAATAAAATCGAAATACTTCATTTAGTGTTGTCGGTTCCACAAATTATACGAAATGATCGGTCAAAAATTTGCAAAAATTTTCATTAAAGTTTTTACAAAAATACTGTAAAAAAATTAAAATCCGACTTCAAATCTTACTTCTTCGACTTTGACTTCGACTACAAAGAATAAAATCATTTCCTATATATTAATAATAGCTGTTATGTGAAAATTATTGTATCCTTTTTAGTTTCATGAATTCGTCTTTTACTTTTTAAAGGTTCACAAGCTCAAGGTTATTAGGTTATTATACAAATACATATTCATTAAAAAATTTCATCATCTATTTTCCCAACCTTTGCAATGGAACTTTTTCTCCAATTTTAAATGGGGCCACGCCTGAATCATGAAGCCTCTTTAATAAAAAAGGATCATATAATCGGTTTTTAATTCATAAAAACCTTATAAAAAAAAATGACTTACAATTAGGATAACATGTAATCTATATAGAATAAAAAAATATTAGTATTGATTTGATATTAATTTTTTTTGATTGTTAATTATATACAACATTAAAAACCACAACAAAAATAAAACTAAAACTAGTAACTTAAATTGATGTTGAATAATATTTAAAAAAAAGAATATACAGATTGAATTGAGAACCTCGTCTTTCTTTAAGCTGACTAAAAAGAGAAGATATTGCTGACTTTCGAGGATAAGTTCTACAATACTTCTCAGCTCTAATACAAGAACAAACCTTTTTTACAAAATAACGGAATTTGGAACAACTTCTCACTGGTTAAGGGAACTAAGTGGAATATAGATTATAGACTCAATAAATCATGGACAGGTCGGAAATTTAACTAGCAAGTAATTTAATGTCCTTTACTACTTGCCAATCTATTTCACATTCTAGATTATTACTTATTCTTCTTTCTTCTTGACCAGCCCGTAAAAATTCAAGACCGGAAGAGAAAACCGGAGACCGTTTTTACTTGAAACGAAGCATTCAATCTTTGTCCTCAGGGTTGATAACATATCTGCATTTTGGTTCTTATTCGAGGATAGGTCTGAATGTCTATTGGCTACAGCATTCACTTACCATCAAATAGACTTCGATTGTCACTCTTATTTTTTCTAAAAGTCCAAATATGCTCTGTTATTTTCTATTGTATCTTAAAACATATAAAATTTCACAAATTTTAAGTATTCTAACTTATTATGTTAATTTAATTTGCCATTCTTTCACATATCAGAAAATATTTTTGAATTAACGTATCTGTGACTTATTTATTCTTTGCCATTCGGACTATGACAGGGTCAAGCTACCAATCCATTAGAGACCCTTTTATATATTGCCTTAAGTGAAGGGATGAGACCTCTGTTGTAATTACTAGAGGAAATACATAGGCAACATATGTTTTTGCTTTCTTTGTTTTTCCTGCTTGCAAAGTTCTATCTGAATCAAAAAGTAGACAAGAAAAGTTAATGAATACTCTAAAACAATTCATCACTCCGCCAAGTATTTAACAAACTAAAAAATATTTTTTAATTAATAGACACTGTAACTTAGGGGCTAAGTGTTAATAGATTTCACAGTATACGTGAGCACCGGGGCTAGAACACCGCTGGCTGGTGCCATTATTAATTTTATTCTCATATATTTTCTTCAATAACGTCCTCCAGACCGAATTTCGGTCACGGCGGTCAGTCTCAGCGGAGAGTAGCCATAGGCCCGGGACAGGATTATAGTGCTCAAGTGTATGAGCAAGCACAGGTGCACTCTCTATTCCCTCACTCTCGTAGTCCCATGGGACGGTAAACCAACACAACCGGAGAGAGATCAGGCGCAGGAGCAACGGCTTTACGTGCTTTCCGAGGCACAAGGGGTGAGACACCGCCAACTTCCTGACTCCGGGCAGCTACTGAGAATTTCTTGATGGCAAACTCAATAACTGATTTTTTTTGGCCTGAATCGGGATTCGAACCCGAGACCCCATGATCAGCAGTCGCACTAATACAGCTCTAGACCAACGAGGCAATCAATAACATATTATATATATAACATAATAATTCAATAACATATATTTCAATAAAATTCTCGGCGGTGAAGTGAAACATCATAAGAAAAGCTGGATGACTGAGGTATAAAATATTTCGAGGACTTGTGAAGTCTGCCAATAGGCACTGCAGCGGCAGCTAGCACCCTTATAGAAATAATAGCTCTAGAACCCTTTTAGATTCTTATTTTTAGTAATAAGAGGAGGTAAGTGCCTAGCAGTAAGACATGTTAAATACGAGTATATATTAATCGCTTCCAAGCTGTTTCATAAATAAGTTTTGTAAGTAGTTTGTACAACCTGTATTTTATTACAAAATTATTGTGAAAAAAAGTCCCACCTAGTTTCTTGCTGGTTCTTTCCAGGACAGTTTTTTTCCGAAAAGTAAAAAAAAAATACAAAAATTTACATTTGATTGTTAATATTTTATGCGCTGTCATACCGTAAAACTTTGTCATCTTATTATTGGCACTTGCACGAAGGTTATAGGCATAGTTTATGTTACATTAGGTGGCGCGCGTGTCGCACCAACAAATTTATTCGAAAGTTATATTATACCAACTTTACTGAATATTTTAATAAACAATACGTATAACAAATATAAAACGACATTTCTACAATTATTTCATCTATTCTAACCTGTTGCTTTATTTTACTTTTATTCGTTTAACCAATGGAGGTATATATTTGGCAGCACTGTCGTCACGCCACAGGCAAAACGAACCCGAAACCTGAATCACGCTAACGAAGTTTCCGAGCAATTCTGGTATAATGTACACAGACCCGTGCTACCTATATCATACGGAGCGTTCAGCCCTTCCCGAGTTGAATACTTTGCCTGCCAGGAGATCTCGACTTATCCTTTGCGACCAAAATATTATGAGCGACTTGCGACGTGCCCCGCCTTTGCCTGGGTTAGGTCTATTAATTTGGCGTTATTTAGATTTAAAGTAATCATCATGCCATTTATTTTATCAATATAAATCAATTATAGTCGATTATTTATTGCTTTATGTTTGTTCGTCATGTTTTATTACAATACTCGTATGCAGCCATTACAAAGCCATGCCCGGTCAGGCAGAGAAAAATTTAAAAAATGTTTATTCATACCATGTAGCTGGGGTAGCTGTAAATTTCACAGTACGCGAATAACCCGGGTTCGATTTCCGCCGGCACCAATGAAATCCTAAATTGCAGTTTTAAGTCTAAAAAATAAGAAAAAAAAAATATATTTTAAAAATATATGAAGTCTGCCAGCACGCACTGGGGCATCGCGGCGGACACTTTCTTGCCCTAAAACCATCTCAAAAATTAGATGAGACCTGTGCCCATTTTTTTTATATGTCTA